CCCTGGTGCCTCCTGCAGCTGGGGGGCTGACCGCACATCTGTCTCTTGCAGAGAAGCTGAAGTTCACCCCGCCACCCCAGCCGCTGCAGTGCATGGAGTTTGACAAGGAGGTTACGGTGTCCTGTTCAGCCACTGGCCGGGAAAAACCCACCATCCAGTGGACTAAAACAGGTAAGGGGGACTTGGAAGCGCTCTTTCTGTTTCTGACTTGGGGCCTCAGGGATTTTCTGTGGGCCCACCTCCAACACGGGTGGAGCTGCGGTGCCATGGGGCTGCCTGGGAAGCCACGGTGCATCGTAGTGCCTAACGTGTGACTGCTGCACCCCCTCTTCTTGTGCCCTGCAGATGGGAGCAGCCTGCCTTCCCACGTCAGCCACAACGCTGGGATCTTGTCCTTCCACAAGGTGAGCAGGAGCGACTCGGGGAACTACACGTGCATCGCCTCCAACAGCCCACAGGGCGAGATCCGCGCCACCGTGCAGCTCGTGGTAGCAGGTGAGGGCTCCACAGCAGGCAGCAGCTGGTTTTCCTGCTGTGCTGACCTCGCAGTGGGTTTCCCTTGGCATGCCTGGACGGAGAGAAATGTCTGGCCTGACCCCGAGCTCTGCCCTGTGGCACTTGAGTGTCTGGTTTGTCCATGCTTTGCATACAACCCAAGAGGGCATGTGCCACTGTGCCAGTGCTGGCCCTGCTCCTTTGTGGGAGCTCAGCATCATTCCCAGGAGCTGACAGTGTTCGTGTTGGCCTCTCTGTCTTCAGTTTACGTCACCTTCAAGCTAGAGCCTGAGCCCATGACGGTGTACCAGGGACACACGGCCGTGTTCCAGTGCCAGGCAGAGGGGGACCCTGTGCCACACATCCAGTGGAAAGGGAAGGACAAGATTTTGGATCCCAGCAAGCTCCTGCCCAGGTACGCAGCCTCTGTCCCTAACTGAAACGTGGCACAGCGTGCCCCTCCCCATGCCTGCCCAGCGTGCGGGGGCTGATGGTGCAGCCTCAGGCTCCCAGTTTGGAGGACACACAGTCAGTTCTCTCCGAGTTGCCCTTTCTGCCACAGCCTGCCAAGCTGCAGCTGGGCAGCAACCATTTCTTGAGCATTGCACAGCATGAGATTCAAGGTGACTGCACGGGGGACACAGGGCTGAGGCATCCTGGGGAGATGGGGCTGGAGGTGCCTGAAGGCTGCCCCTTGCCCGCTGGTGCGTGCAAAGGCCTCTGTGTGGTTGGCAGGATTCAGATCATGCCCAATGGCTCCCTGGTCATCTACGACGTCACCACGGAGGACTCTGGAAAATACACCTGTATTGCTGGCAACAGCTGCAACATCAAGCACCGCGAGGCCTTCCTCTACGTTGTGGGTAAGGGCTCGGGGCGTGGCCTCCTGCTGTCCTGGCAGCTCTGGCACTGCTGGTGGGTGCTGCGTGTCGGGTCGTGCCTGCTAGGGAACATCCCTAGTGGGATGCAGCACGGCGTGCTCTGGGCTGTGCCCGGCATCCTGTGGCTGGATGAGGAGGTGGCCACGGCAGGAGGGGGCTTTTCACATTCCTCCAGGACGTTTCTGAACAGGATTTGGGAAATCCGTTTGCACCCGTATGGGTTCTTACGGGTGCTCTCTGCCCCACAGACAAGCCAGCAGCGGAGGAGGATGAGGGACTGGGCAGCCACACACCCTACAAGATGATCCAGACCATTGGGCTGTCGGTGGGGGCGGCTGTTGCCTACATTATCATCGTGCTGGGGCTGATGTTCTACTGTAAGAAGCGGAGAAAAGCCAAGAGACTGAAGAAACACCCAGAGGGCGAGGAGCCTGAAATGGAGTGTCTGAATGGTGAGGCTGGCACCTCTGGGGGTGGTGGGGACTTCACTGTCAGCCCCTTACCCCTGGGCCGGAGGGGCTGAGGGGCAGGGAGCACCAGCACCTGGGGAACAGGGGACTCCTCCTTGCCCTTGAAGTTTCTTGCTCTAGGTTTTGCCTATGGCTGGTGGCAGAGACCTGCTGCCAGATGAGAAATAGGCAGGTTGGTGTGAAACCTGCATCCCAGCCCCACATCGTGGCCAAGTCTGCTGAGTTACGTATCACTCCTGCTTTCCAGCACCCGCGTACGGCATCGTGTACACCCATTGCCAAGAGGAGGGAGCATGACTATTGCAGTGTAATGAAGTAGTAGTAATGTGACGGCCTGTTCAAATCACAGTTCAGCAGCTCCTGGTGCTGGAGGGAAGACTTTTCACTGAACAGCCCTGAACTCTGCTGTCAACTCACCCTGTTACCTCTGAAACCCATATAAGCTTTGAACATCTACAGCATCCTCCAACAAGGACTTCGAAACACAACAGGTTATCTAAAAACTCTCTCTTTGCTTTTCAAGCTTGTCAGCTATCAGCTCTGTGCTGGAGCACGTGGCTCTTCTGTACGTCTGATCACTCCTGTGAGGTCCTTTTCTGGTTGCACTGTTGCCTTTCTGAGATGTGGAGCCCCAGACAGGACTTGATGCCTCCAGCTTTGCAGTGACACGGCCGTGCTCTGTCCTGTTCCTAGCTGTGCCACCGGCTTCCTGTCCACAGAGCTCGCTCTGGAGGGAGAGCAGGCAGCTCTGGGCCGAGCCCACCACTAGCTGGGATGTGGGACTTGGCTTTCCCAGGCCTTACATTGTATCTCTGGCTGCACCTCGCAGTGCTCAGTGTCCCTCTACAGCTGGCCACGGCTGGCCTGTACTTTTGCTGCTAGCAAAGTTGGCAGCTTTGGCAAAGGGCTGCCAGCAGTGCCCATTCCATATTGGCAGCGTGTGGTACTACCCTGGTTCCTACCCTCTCTGTGTCCATTGGAGGATGTTCCATCCTGTCCTGTGGCAGCTGAGCTGCTTTTTAACAGCTGTTTCCATAAGACCCTGCAAAATCCTTGCAAATGGACTAAACCGGGTCTCCATTGTGCATGAGCTACATGATTCCTTCAGTGAATCCAAGTGATCTTCCTGGGGCATATTCATTTCTAAAAGCTGTTACAGCTTTCTCCTGATGTCATGGTTGTCTTTGCATCACTGATACCAGTTGAAGGCTTGTAAGTGATGGGGTGCAGTTGAGTTTGTTGCCCTTAACGATTCGCTGGGTCTCCCCCCATTCCACTGTAAATACAGACATCATGCTTCCCCCTCTTAGTTCTCCAGCACACGGCCATGTCCTGATCCTGTGGGGGTTGCTGTGAGGTCCTGGCAGAACATCACTGCTGGGTTTATCTCCTGGTTTTCTGGTAGCAATGCTTTGAACAGAGCTACAACTCCAGAAGAGAAGTCTGGCTGTAGGGGGGAGCTGGGGTACAGGAGCATCTCTGCAGCTTTGTGCTCTGCTGCTGTCACCACTGTGAGCTCTTCCTGTGGACATGTGGCAGGCAGCTCACCTGTGCCAATGGGTTCTGGCCACCATCTTGTTCATGGGAAAGGATTTGTTTTAAACTTTCCTGAGGTATTTTTTTGTTTTGGCCTGTCTTTGTTATACTTCTCTCAGACTTTGCCTATTCTTTTGCCCTTCATTTGGAAACAGTTTAGCTGTCAGAGGGATGTATCCTCCCTGCTGCAAACAAACCCAGCTGCTCAGATGTCTCCACTCCTTTTTGGTACTTCCATAGCCTCTCTGGAGGAGTGATTTGTGCTTGCTGTAAGCTCCAGTGGAGTTCCCCCCTTCACCATGTTCTTAAATGATTTGGTTCTTTTCCTCCTTTTGACGTGGTCCCTCTTTAGCTGGCTGGTCTGAAGTATCTCAGCACCTACCTGATGACAAGTAGTCCCTGGCTGGCCACCAGCTGACTTTTCCAGTGGCCTGAGGATCCAGAGAGATTTGACCTTCCTATGGATTTGCAGTGGATCCTTCGTATGGATTTGCTATGGATCGTTGCGTTCCTAACAAGTCAATCACCTTCCAAGGTCATGTCCCTGGTGTGCCACATCCTCTAATAAGTGCGCTTGCTCTCACTGTCTTGTCCCAGCTCTGTGAAACACGGGAATGTCTGTTCTTCAGTGTCTGCCATCGCTGCCGCTGGTGCTCTCTCAGTGGCAGCATACTCGCTCTGCAGCCTTTGTTATTTTCCTGACACAGTTGCAGTGGTTGTCTTGTATTATCCCCTTGTCTTCAAGCTTGTAGTCTCGAGACACTGTCAGTCCTGAGTGCAGACAGCACGGCCTCAAACACTCTTGCTAATAATCAGCAGAAAACCAGGGAGAGCGTAAGTACCGTCAAGCTTTGATCAGTTGGGTAGGTGCTGCTTCTTGGCTGTCATCTTCTGCAAATGTTATTCTGCTGTGTGAGAGAGGACAGCTGGATCTCTGCTGTCATCTCCCAGTTCTGCAGCTAAGCACCACCTGCAAGGGAAGCCATGGTTCCGAATTCAACATATCTCAGTCTTCACAGCTCCAAGCCTACCTGTGGCAAAGCCACGGCTCCTGTCATTGTGGCCAGACCTGTTCAGGATGTGTTGGTTGGCTGGTGCCTCTCTTGCACGCTTGCAGTCCACGCGTACGTGTACACACACCGCTGTACAATACCCCTTGATGGAAATTATGGGCACTGGGACTCCTGTTGGAGTCAAGTCTTAATTTTGTGATTAAGTCCTTTTGCATGGGCAGGTGTGTTCCTCAGTGCTTGCTCCTGGACTAGCTGGAGTGTGCACAGTAACATAGGGTGATGCTGCACATCAGCCACATTAGCTCGGTGCTGTGCCCTGCTTTACATTCAAGCTCCTGCTTGCAGCTTATGGAAAGTACCACTTCCTAGTGCCAAGTCTGAGTCAAGCAGTAAATGTATTCAAAATCAAGGTTTGCTGTCTGTACTACTGTCCATACTTTCTTCCCCTACAAGCTGCCTGTAAAACGCAGGGTTCTCTATGTTAAAGCAATAGTGTTTTGTGCTGTTCACTGGCTTCTGCTTGTGCCAGGGAAATTTCTAATGGAGTTCCTGAGCAGAAAGCTTGCTGGGGTTGGTTACAAAGACAGGGCTTCCTAGCACAGCTTTAACCCAGGCAGTAAAGGAAACTCTGGGCTGATTTTGCCTGACAGGTTCAAGATTACCCAAGACACAAGCACTGCTGGTTTGCTGGGAAGGGAGCAGGTGCAGGGTGGGGACAGAGTGCAGCAGCTGATGCTGGGTAAGACTCAAGAGTCTCCTGAGCATCAAGAGACTGTGGTTATGGTGAGCAGGGTCTTCCCTGCTTCACACATCCAATCTCCTGCTGCTATCCTGTAGAGTTTTGTCAATGGTAGTTTGGATGTAGCCAGTCCTTTGGGATGACTGAGTGGCATGGGATGGACAAGGCCAGATGGGGCTGGTTGGCTCTGGGACCAAAGCCATTGCTCAGGATCTGATTTCAAGGGGGGCTGCAGGGCTGCCAGAGATGGGGCTGGATGTGAGCCCAGAGGAAACAACTGTGTGGAGGCGACTCTGTTGCCTGGTACTTAGACATCAAGAGTTCATGGAGCCAGCTGTGGGTGCTCGGAGTGTCAGCCCCAGAAGAGGCTGATCATCCCCAGCATGACATTCTCTGCCCAGCCTGGCAGGATGCTGAAGCCATTTGTGCTTCCCTTGCAGGTGGTGCTTTGCTGCAGAATGGGCAGATGACAGCAGAGATCCAGGAAGAAGTGGCCTTGACCAACCTGGGCAGCAGCTCTGGGGCCAGCAAGCGGCACAGCGCTGCCGACAAAATGCACTTTCCACGTTCCAACCTGCAGACAATCACAACTCTGGGTATGCTGGGGCACCCTGGCCCTGACCCCACTCCAGCAGGAAACCTGTGGCTGAAACCCCGGCATATCCTAGCCAGAAAACTGGACGTGCTGGGTGGGGTACAGAGGGCCCTGCAGCCTCTGGGCTGTCAAATCCATAGGCTGTCCCAACATACGCTCTCTTCCCATGTGCTACTCTACACTTCCAGGCAGGGGGGAGTTTGGTGAAGTGTTCCTGGCCAAGGCAAAAGGTGCAGAGGATGGTGAGGGGGAAATGCTGGTCCTGGTGAAGAGCCTGCAGACGAGGGATGAGCAGCTGCAGCTGGACTTCCGTCGAGAGGCAGAGATGTTTGGCAAGCTGAACCACTCCAACGTGGTGCGGCTGCTGGGGCTGTGCCGCGAGGCAGAGCCTCACTACATGGTCCTGGAGTATGTGGACTTGGTAAGGGCCCTGCCAGCAATCCCTGCAGGGAGGAGGAGGAGGAGGGGTGGACAGTGGGCATGGAGCCTGCAAGTGTGACACAGTCCAGCCTGGCAGCTTACGACAAGTAAGGTGTAGGGGAGACCATGCTGATATCCCCACGTGCTGGGAACAGTGGTTGAGTCTTGAATGTAACAGGGGTCTCTTGCAAGGCCTGGAGGTGACTTCATCTTCTCCCACATCCTGATTTCTGGTTATGTCTAGGACTCAGCTGAGTAAATTAAGCTGTGGGACTCCATGCTGCAAAATGGCTGTGAATGCTAAGGGCTACTGTAGGGAGCCTGGGGTTCATGGGAGAAAAATCCATTTGGGGCATGAAAAACCTCCTGGAAGCATCAAGCTTGCTTGCCCTGATCTTCGCCAGTTGAGGCCCAGAAGTGAGTTACTGGCCTGCCCTCCAGGGCAAGGGCCAGGAGGAGTGGGGACTATGGTCCAGGAGATGAGGATCCATTGGGCCTTCCAGTGGGCCTGACACATCCAGGCACTGCAGGGACTGATGTGGCTGGCAGCACGGAGAGGTGCTGCCTCTGAGTTGCTCTCTGTCTCCCAGGGGGACCTGAAGCAGTTCCTGAGGATCTCCAAGAGCAAAGACGAGTCTCTGAAGCCACAGCCCCTAACTACCAAACATAAGGTGACAGTGCAGCTTTGGAAGTGCCGTGGGGCTGGGGACCCTGAGGAGGGCAGCCAGTGCTGATATCTCTCTGGGGTCAGGTGTCTCTCTGCACACAGGTGGCCCTGGGTATGGAGCACCTCTCCAATGGCAGGTTTGTGCACCGAGATTTGGCAGCCAGGAACTGCCTGGTCAGCGCCCAGCGGCAGGTCAAGGTCTCATCCCTGAGCCTCAGCAAGGATGTGTACAACAGGTAGCTGGGAACCTGGCAGGGGAAGGGGAAGGGGTGGGATGGCACTGATCTTATTTTGCCTGCTTGTCCTGCCTGCAGCGAGTACTACCACTTCCGCCAGGCCTGGATCCCGCTGCGCTGGATGCCACCCGAAGCTGTGCTGGAGGACGAGTTCTCCACTAAGTCAGACGTGTGGTCCTTTGGGGTACTCATGTGGGAGGTCTTCACACACGGAGAGATGCCCTACACCCCGCTGGCAGATGATGAGGTCCTAGCAGGTACGTGGAGTATCTTTTGTTGTCCCTGGCGCCGTGGTCCGCTTTTGGGGGGGTGGAGGAGTCCAGCCAGGCTGTGTGTCACGTCCCCACTCTTCACACCATGCTGGTCTGGCTGGCGGGGGCTGTTCAGTGCGTGTGGAGAGATGCTGGCCTCCTTGCACCCTGCCAAGGGATCACATCTCTTCCCTTTGGACTCTGCTTTGGCGGCAGGTCTGCAGTCGGGAAAAACGAAGCTGCAGCAGCCCGAGGGCTGCCCCTCCC